TGTCTGTGTGTGTGTGTGTCTGTGTGTGTGTGTGTCTGTGTGTACGTGTGTCTGTGTGTGTGTGTCTGTGTGTGTGTCTGTGTCTGTCTGTGTCTGTCTGTGTGTGTCTGTGTGTCTGTCTGTGTGTCTATGCGTCTGTCTGTGTGTCTGTGTGTCTGTGTCTGTCTGTGTGTCTGTCTGTGTGTCTGTGTGTCTGTGTGTCTGTGTGTGTGTGTCTGTCTATGCGTCTGTCTATGCGTCTGTCTGTCTGTGTGTCTGTATCTGTCTGTCTGTCTTTGTGTGTGTCTGTCTGTGTGTGTCTGTCTGTGTGTCTGTGTCTGTCTGTGTCTGTCTGTGTGTGTGCGTGTGTCTGTCTGTGTGTGTCAGTGTGTGTGTCTGTCTGTGTCTGTCTGTGTCTGTCTGTGTGTCTATGCGTCTGTCTCTGTGTCTGTCTGTGTGTCTGTGTGTCTGTATCTGTCTGTGTCTGTCTGTGTGTGTGTGTCTGTCTGTGTGTGTCTGTCTGTGTCTGTCTGTCTCTGTGTGTCACTGTGTGTGTAGGAGTGGTGGGTGTAGTGGTTAGCGCTACGCTGCGCTACGAACCTGGCCACCCGAGTTCGATTCCCGCTCACGGCCACCACCACTCAGTGACGATTCTATGAACCGGTCCTGGGCCTCCCCTAGGTCGACTCAGCCTCAAATGAGTACCTGGTGTAGTGGTGGTGGTGGTGGTGTAGTGGTGGTGGTGTAGTGAACATCGTCACTGGGAAGACAAAGGCGGCCGGGCGTGGTGCTGGCCACCCACCCCCTCGTGTGCCGAGGGGGTGGGTGGCCAGCAGAGGCTACCTGGGGGAGCTTTGTCTGTGTGTGCATCATAGGTGGTGCTACTCGCTACTGACAGCACTTGCCCCTACAGCCCTGCTAGAGGCTACCTGGGGGAGCTTTGTCTGTGTGTGCGTCATAGGTGGTGCTACTCGCTACTGACAGCACTTGCCCCTACAGCCCTGCTAGAGGCTACCTGGGGGAGCTTTGTCTGTGTGTGCGTCATAGGTGGTGCTACTCGCTACTGACAGCACTTACCCCTACAGCCCTGCTAGAGGCTACCTGGGGGAGCTTTGTCTGTGTGTGTGTCATAGGTGGTGCTACTCGCTACTGACAGCACTTGCCCCTACAGCCCTGCTAGAGGCTACCTGGCGGTGCTTTGTCTGTGTGTGTATCATAGATGGTGCTACTCGCTACTAGCAGCACTTGCCCCTACAGCCTTGCTAGAGGCTACCTGGGGCAGCTTTGTCTGTGTGTGTGTCAGCAGCGAGCCTTCGACACTTTACGTGGCAGCCTCAAGGTGCACCTAGCCTGGCACAGGCGCCGTGGTGACGTCACCGTCTGCTTGTTGGCATCGGCCTGTCAGAAGTAGAATCCGTGTTGATCCGGCAGGAGGGAAATCCGATAAGCTTTGAAGCTCTTTTTTATCGCAGGCGTCCAGAGAGCCGTCGGAAATTTAAGCAAATCAGCTCAAACCAAGGGGCTGATACCATCACCACCACCATCAGCGCGTGGGAATGTAGGGTGGCAGGGACTCGTAGAGACCCACAGAGACCCATAGAGATACATAGAGACCCACAGAGACCCACAGAGACCCATAGAGACTCATAGAGACCCACAGAGATACACAGAGACTCAGAGACCCACAGAGACCCAGAGAGACCCATAGAGATACATAGAGACTCATAGAGACCCACAGAGACCCACAGAGACCCATAGAGATACATAGAGATACACAGAGACCTATAGAGATACATAGACACCCACAGATACATAGAGACCCATAGAGATACACAGAGACCCATAGAGACCCATAGAGACTCATAGAGACCCACAGAGACCCACAGAGACTCATAGAGACCCACAGAGACCCACAGATACTCATAGAGACCCATAGAAACCCATAGAGACCCACAGAGACCCACAGAGACCCATAGAGATACACAGAGACCCATAGAGACTCATTGAGACCCACAGAGACCCACATATACCCACATAGACTCACAGAGACCCACAGAGACTCACAGAGACCCACAGATACCCACATAGACTCACAGAAACCCACAGATACCCACATAGACCCACAGAGACCCACATAGACTCACAGAGACCCACAGAGACCCACGTAGACTCACAGAGACCCACAGCGACCAACATAGATTCAGAGACCCACAGAGATTCATAGGGACCCACGACTCACAGAGATTCACAGACCCACAGAGACCAACATAGTTACCCACACTAAAACCAAACTAGTTTATTATATGTGATCACACACACACACACATGTTGTATATGTGTGAGCTCCTTGTTCGCGAGCGAGACCAACAGATACCCACAGAGACCCACAGAGATTCATAGGGACCCACATAGACCCACAGAGACCCACAGAGACCAACATAGATTCAGAAACCCACAGAGATTCATAGGGACAACGACTCACAGAGACCCACAGAGACCCACAGAGACCCACATAGATTTAGAGACCCACAGAGATTCATAGGGACCCACGACTCACAGAGACCCACAGAGACCCACAGAGATTCATAGGGACAACGACTCACAGAGACCCACAGAGACCCACAGAGACCCACATAGATTCAGAGACCCACAGAGATTCATAGGGACCCACGACTCACAGAGACTCACAGAGACCCACAGAGACCCACATAGATTCAGAGACCCACAGAGACCCACATAGATTCAGAGACCCACAGAGATTCATAGGGATCCACAGACTCACAGAGACCCACAGAGACCCACGTAGACTCACAGAGACCCACAGAGACCAACATAGATTCAGAGACCCACAGAGATTCACAGAGACCCACATAGACCAACATAGTTTCACAGAGACCCACACTAAAACCAAAATAGTTTATTATATTTGACCACACACACACATTGTATATGTGTAAGACCGTTGTTTCGCGAACGACGCAGGCTATCGCGAAATGCGGAAACACGTGGGGGTGGGAGTTCAAATTATTTCAAAGAGAGATTGTCTTCGCCTCCGCTGGTACATTCACCACTGCAAATGTTCTCCAGGAGGTCTCGTGGGTTCGATTAGCCTGAGAGATGTTGACTACCTCGCCTGGTCTACAGGAGGTCCCGTGGGTTCGATTACCCTAAGAGATGTTGACTACCTCGCCTGGTCTACAGGAGGTCTCGTGGGTTCGATTAGCCTGAGAGATGTTGACTACCTCGCCTGGTCTACAGGAGGTCTCGTGGGTTCGATTACCCTGAGAGATGTTGACTACCTCGCCTGGTATACAGGAGGTCTCGTGGGTTCGATTACCCTGAGAGATGTTGACTACCTCGCCTGGTGTGCAGGAGGTCGTGGGTTCGATTACACTGAGAGATGTTGACTACCTCGCGTGGTATACAGGAGGTCGTGGGTTCGATTACACTGAGAGATGTTGACTACCTCGCCTGGTATACAGGAGGTCCCGTGTGTTCGATTACCCTGAGAGATGTTGACTACCTCGCCTGGTATACAGGAGGTCGTGGGTTCGATTACCCTGAGAGATGTTGACTACCTCGTCTGGTCTACAGGAGGTCGTGGGTTCGATTACCCTGTGAGATGTTGACTACCTCGCCTGGTATACAGGAGGTCGTGGGTTCGATTAGCCTGAGAGATGTTGACCACCTCGCCTGGTATGCAGGAGGTCGTGGGTTCGATTACCCTGAGAGATGTTGACTGCCTCGCCTGGTCTACAGGAGGTCGTGGGTTCGATTAGCCTGAGAGATGTTGACCACCTCGCCTGGTATACAGGAGGTCGTGGGTTCGATTAGCCTGAGAGATGTTGACCACCTCGCCTGGTCTACATGAGGTCGTGGGTTCGATTACCCTGAGAGATGTTGACCACCTCGCCTGGTATACAGGAGGTCGTGGGTTCGATTAGCCTGAGAGATGTTGACCACCTCGCCTGGTCTACATGAGGTCGTGGGTTCGATTACCCTGAGAGATGTTGACTACCTCGCCTGGTATACAGGAGGTCCCGTGGGTTCGATTACCCTGAGAGATGTTGACTACCTCGCCTGGTCTACAGGAGGTCCCGTGGGTCCTGCTGTATATTTCCCACGTGACGGTGACCCCCACGTGACAATTCCTTTTCACTGCTGCAGATGTTCCAAACGATATCGGACACTTGCTATTGTGTCTGTGTCTATTGTGCTGTTGTTGTTGTGTCTGTCTATTGTGTTGTTGTGTCTATTGTGTTGTTGTTGTGAGACATCTGTGACAAAAAGAGATTCATAGCTCATCGGATTGCTCCTGCAGTATAAATAAATAAATAACAATATTCTGAGTGGGCGTGGTGTAGGTCTATGGGGGCGTGGTGTAGGTTAATGAGGGCGTGGCGTATGTTAAAGCGGGCGCGGTGTAGGGAGTGGGCGTAGTTTAAGGAAGAGTGGGTGTGGTATATGTTAAAGTGGGCGTGGTGTAAGGAAGAGTAGGCGTGGTGTAGTTTAAAGTGGGCGTGGTGCAGTTTAAAGTGGGCGTGGTGCAGGTTAAAGTGGGCGTGATGTAGTTTAAAAGTGGGCGTGGTGTGTGGGGTGGGAGGGGTCTCACCCCACCCTCATTTCAAATCCTGGGCGTTGGTATTGGGAGGGAGTGGGCGTAGTGTAGTTCAAAGTGGGCGTGGTATAGTTCAAAGTGGGCGTGGTGTAGGGAGGGCGTGGTGCAGGGAGGGAGTGGGCGTGGTGTAGTTCAAAGTGGGCGTGGTATAGTTCAAAGTGGGCGTGGTATAGTTCAAAGTGGGCGTGGTGTAGGGAGGGCGTGGGCGTTGGTGCAGGGATGGAGTGAGGCGTGGTGTAGTTCAAAGTGGGCGTGGTGTAGTTCAAAGTGGGCGTGGTGTAGGGAGGGCGTGGGCGTGGTGCAGGGAGGTAGTGGGCGTGGTGCAGGGTGGGAGTGGGCGTGGTGTAGTTCAAAGTGGGCGTGGTGTAGTTCAAAGTGGGCGTGGTGTGTGTATGGTGGGGGTGTCTCACCCTCACCCCACCCACCAACACCACCACAGTTCCGTTTCAAACCTCGGGCGTCAGCGATCGACGTCGTCCGCCTGTCTCCCTGTCCGCCTGTCTCCCTGTCCGGCTGTCCCCCTGTCCGCCTGTCTCCCTGTCCGCCTGTCTCCCTGTCCGCCTGTCGGCCTGTCCCCCTGTCCGTCGCCGCTTCTCCTCCACGGCCTCCACCGCTTCGAGACATCTTCCCCAGGGTGCCTTGCCCTGCACTGCCCTGCACCGCCCTGCACCGCTGTTTGCAGGTGAGACCACCACACCCACCCACTCACTCATCCACTCACTCACTCACCCACTCACTCATTCACCCGCTCACCCACTCACTCACCCACTCACTCACCCACCCACTCACTCATTCACCCGCTCACCCACTGACTCACTCACTCACCCACTCACTCACCCACTCACCACCCACTCACTCACCCACTCACCCACTCACCCACTCACCACTCACCCACTCACCACTCACCCACTCACTCACCCACCCACTCACTCATTCACCCGCTCACCCACTGACTCACTCACTCACCCACTCACTCACCCACTCACCACCCACTCACTCACCCACTCACCCACTCACCACTCACCCACTCACCACTCACCCACTCACCACTCACCCACTCACCACTCACCCACCCACCCACCCACTCACCCACCCACCCACTCACCCACCCACTCACCCACCCACCCACTCACCCACCCACCCACTCACCCACCCACTCACCCACCCACTTCCCCACTCACCCACCCCCCCCACTCACCCACCCACTCCCCCACTCACTCACCCACTCACTCATCCACTCACTCACCACTCACTCACCCACCCACTCACTCACCCACCCACCCACTCACTACTCACCCACCCACTCACTCACCCACCCACCCACTCACTCACCCACTTACCCACCCACTCACTCACCCACCCACCCACCAACTCACTCACCCACTCACTCACCACTCACTCACCACTCACTCACCCACTCACTCACTCACCCACCCACCCACTCACTCACCCACCCACTCACTCACCCACCCACCCACTCACTACTCACTCACCCACCCACTCACTCACCCACCCACCCACTCACCCACTCACCCACCCACTCACCCACCCACTCACCCACCCACTCACCCACTCACTCACTCACCCACCCACTCACCCACCCATCCACTCACTCACTCACCCACTCACTCACTCACCCACTCACCCACCCACTCACCCACCCACTCACCCTCTCACTCACCCACTCACCCACCCACCCACCCACTCACCCACCCACCCACCCACTCACCCACCCACTCACTCACCCACTCACCACCCACCCACTCTTACCAGAACAACCACCACCTACCCACTAACCACACCAGCCGAGCCAAACTCGCTCCAGCTAAACCACCACCCCCACTCCTCCCTTGGTGGGTGAGTGAGAGATGAGGGGAGTGGGTGAGTGGTGAGGGGAGTGGGTGGTGAGTGGGTGAGTGGTGAGGGGAGTGGGTGAGTGGTGAGGGGAGTTGGTGAGTGGGTGGTGAGTGGGTGAGTGGTGAGGGGAGTGGGTGAGGTGAGTGGTGAGGGGAGTGGGTGAGTGGTGAGGGGAGTGGGTGAGTGGGTGGGTGAGTGGTGAGGGGAGTGGATGGTGAGTGGGTGAGTGATGAGGGGAGTGAGTGAGTGGTGAGGGGAGTGAGTGAGTGGTGAGGGGAGTGGGTGAGTGGTGAGGGGAGTGGGTGAGTGGATGGTGAGTGGGTGAGTGAGTGGGTGAGTGATGAGGGGAGTGGGTGGGTGAGTGAGTGGTGAGGTGAGTGAGTGGTGAGGTGAGGGCAGTGAGTGAGTGGTGAGGTGAGGTGAGTGGTGGGTGATTGGTGGGTGAGTGAGTGAGTGGTGAGGGGAGTGAGTGAGTGAGTGGTGAGGGGAGTGAGTGACTGGGTGAGTGACTGGGTCAGTAGGCGACTCGCCCTGCCAGGAATTCCCCGGTATCCACCCCGACCACCCCCACCACCACCAACCACCCTTTTTAGCCGGGAGGAAGCGACCCTTGCCGGGCGGAGGACGTCCAGGCAAGACAGGGGGGGCCCGCGGATCGGTGCTAGGCCTCGAAATGTTTTGTGTGCTGGTTTGATGGTGGTGGTGGTGGTGCTGTGGGTTGGTGGTGCTGTAGTTGTTGGATTGGTGGTGGTGGTAGTGGTGTGGCTCTCCCGTCCGCCTTTGTCTCTCCCTGTCTCGTGGCGTCTACTGAGGCTAGCTGGCGGGAGAGAGAGATGGGGCGGTAGGGGGGGTAGTACGGGCGTGGCCCTCGTGGTGGTGGGGAGGGAGGGAGAGGTAGGGGAAGCGTCCCGGCCGTCTTTGTCTTTCCTCTGTTGTTAGTGGAGGGGGGGGAGGTCTGTGGGGGTGGAGTGGGGGGCGCTACCCCCCCACCACCCAGAATCTTTCCCGAGGTAGGTGTCAGTGTGTGTGGGTGAGTGTGTGTGTGGGGTGTGTGGGTGTCTCTGTGTGTGTGTGGGTGGTGTGTGTGGGTGAGTGTCTTGTGTGTATGGGTGTGTGGGTGAGTGTCCGTGTGTATGGGTGTGTGGGTGAGTGTCCGTGTGTATGGGTGTGTGGGTGAGTGTCCGTGTGTGTATGGGTGTCTCTGTGTGTGTGTGGGTGGTGTGTGTGGGTGTCTCTGTGTGTGTGTGGGTGGTGTGTGTGGGTGAGTGTCTTGTGTGTGTCTGTATGTGTGTGTGTCTGTATGTATGTGTGGGTGAGTGCCCGTGTGTGTGGTGTGTCTGTGTGTGGGTGGTGTGTGTGGGTGGTGTGTGTGGGTGGTGTGTGTGGGTGGTGTGTGTGTGTGGGTGGTGTGTGTGGGTGTGTCTGTATGTGTGTGTGTCTGTATGTGTGGGTGAGTGTCCGTGTGTGGGTGGTGTGTGTGTGTCTTGTGTGTGGGTGGTGTGTGTGGGTGAGTGTCCGTGTGTGTGGTTTGTGTGGGTGTCTGTGTGGGTGTCTGTGTGTGTGGATGTCTGTATGTGTGGGTGAGTGTACGTTTGTGTGTGTGTGTCTGTGTGTGTGTGTCTGTATGTGTGTCTGGTGTGTGTCTGTGTGTGTGTCTGTGTGTGTGGGTGGTGTGTGTGGGTGGTGTGTGTGGGTGGCGTGTGTGAGTGGTGTGTGTGGGTGGTGTGTGTGGGTGGTTTGTGTCTCTGTGTGTGTGAGTGGCGTGTGTGGGTGATGTGTGTGTGGTGTGTGTGTGGGTGGTGTGTGTGTGGGTGTCTCTGTGTGTGGGTGGTGTGTGTGGGTGTGGTGTGTGTGGGTGTGTGTGGGTGTGCTGTGTGCGAGTGGTGTGTGGGTGGTGTGTGTGGATGGTGTGTGTGGGTGTCTCTGTGTGGATGGTGTGTGTGGGTGTCTCTGTGTGGATGGTGTGTGTGGTGTGTGTGCGGGTGGTGTGTGGGTGGTGTGTGTGGTGGTGTGTGTGTGTGGGTGGTGTGTGTGTGTGGTGTGTGTGGTGTATGTCTGGTTTGTGTGGGTGGTGTGTGTGTGTGTGTCTGTGTGGGTGTGTGTGTGGGTGGTGTGTGTGGGTGGTGTGTGTGTCTGTGTGTAGGTGGTGTGTGTATCTTGTGTGTGTCTGTGTGTGTCTTGTGTGTTTGTGGGTGCCTGTGTGTGTGAATGTCTGTATGTGTGGGTGAGTGTCCGTGTGTGTTTGTGGGTGTCTGTGTGTGTGGGTGTGTCTTGTGTGTCTGTGTGTTTGTGGGTGTGTGTGTGTGTGTGTCTGTGTGTGTCTGTATGTGTGGGTGTCTCTGTGTGTGTGTCTGTGTGTGTGGGTGTCTCTGTGTGTCTGTCTGTATGTGTGGGTGTCTCTGTGTGTGTGTCTGTATGTGTGGGTGTCTCTGTGTGTGTGTGGGTGGTGTGTGGGTGTGTCTTTGCACACAAATACGTGTATGTTTGTGGGTGTCTGTGTGTGTGTGGGTGTGTCTTCAGTGTGTCTGTGGCTGTGTGGGTGTGTCTCAGTGACAGCGATTATCTGGTACCGGTTCTGGGCCTCCCCTAGATCGACTCAGCCTCAAATGAGTAACCTGGTGTAGTGGTGGTGGTGTAGGAAACATCGCTACTGGGGGAGAGACAAAGGCGGCCGGGCGTGGTGGTAGTGCTGGCCACCCACCCCCTCTGTGTGTAGCCACAGTGCCGGTAGCCTCCATAGACGCTGCTGCTGCTACTCGCTACTAGCAGCACTTGCCCCTACAGCCCTGTTAGAAGCTACCTGGGGGAGCTTTGTCTGTGTGTCATAGGTGGTGCTACTCGCTACTAGCAGCACTTGCCCCTACAGCCCTGTTAGAGGCTACCTGGGGGAGCTTTGTCTGTGTGTGTGTCATAGGTGGTGCTACTCGCTACTAGCAGCACTTGCCCCTACAGCCCTGTTAGAGGCTACCTGGGGGAGCTTTGTGTGTGCATCATAGGCGGTGCTACTCGCTACTAGCAGCACTTGCCCCTACAGCCCTGCTAGAGGCTACCTGGGGAAGCTTTGTCTGTGTGTGCATCATAGGTGGTGCTACTCGCTACTAGCAGCACTTGCCCCTACAGCCCTGCTAGAGGCTACCTGGGGGAGCTTTGTCTGTGTGTGTATCAGAGGCGGTGCTTCTCGCTACTGACAGCACCGTGACCACCCCCGTGACCACTACGTCATGGGAGCGGTCACGTGGTGAGATATTAACGACCTCGCCTGGTATACAGGAGGTCGTGGGTTCGATTACCCTGAGAGATGTTGACTACCTCGCCTGGTCTACAGGAGGTCGTGAGTTCGATTACCCTGAGAGATGTTGACTACCTCGCCTGGTCTACAGGAGGTCGTGGGTTCGATTACCCTGAGAGATGTTGACTACCTCGCCTGGTCTACAGGAGGTCGTGGGTTCGATTACCCTGAGAGATGTTGACTACCTCGCCTGGTCTACAGGAGGTCGTGGGTTCGATTAGCCTGAGAGATGTTGACTACCTCGCCTGGTATACAGGAGGTCGTGGGTTCGATTACCCTGAGAGATGTTGACTACCTCGCCTGGTATACAGGAGGTCGTGGGTTCGATTACCCTGAGAGATGTTGACTATGATGATTGGTTTTTTACCCTTTTATCTGTAAAAAAGGTCTCAGTTTTGTTGCCAGATAAAAGGGTAAAAAACCAATTATCATATTTTGTTACTGGCAAATGAGGTTTCCAATGGTGTAAATTCTTACCCCGAGCTCTCATACTCTGATGGTGCATTGCCTTTGAGTTGTGCGCCTTTTGGCGTCTT